TCGTTGTGGGCTTCATCATCGAATGGCGGGTGGCCGTCCTCATTCTTGTCACCTTCCCTCTCCTTGTCCTTGCCAACTTTGCCCAGGTAAAACAACTCTCAACTCACAATATTTTCGTTAACATGGAGGTGTCATTCTATTATGTGCCTTTTACGTTCTAACCTGGATTAGACAACGTGCTAGGAATCTTTGGTGGAATAGGAGAATTACCCTTTCACATTAAACCGAATAGTACTTTGCACGACGAACTCACTGAGCTCACTGCACCGTTGCGACGCCGTTTTCGGCGCAGACAACCGTTTGCTGCTCAATTACTCCCTCCGGAGATAGGATGCCAGATTAAATCCATCAGCATTGCTATGGTAGGATCCGTGGCCCATGCCACTGCCACTGCTTCTGCCGCCGCAGCTGCCATAAATTACTGTGCGCGGCATGTGCAACCCTGCCAAGATGCTCCTTGGCCTCCTCTCTGCAAAGGCAAAGCGGCCGTGCTAATCATAGAACTCGGCGTTAACAACGGCAAGTAAAGCTCCAGGACGTGCGCTATTTATCGCAACAGATGCTTGCTTCCTCCGTTCCTCTGATGCCTAATGGCTTTCGTGTTTCTGAGACTGGGAGGAAGCAAAGCAATAGCATGGCCAACTGCCCCAATCTGTCGTCTTTCTTTCCTGCTGCTCATTAGCTGCCCCCAGTGGTAGGGTTGTTTTTGGTTTCTTGCCGCTCGTCCCCCTGGTGGTCCCGTTGTTCGCGACACTGTCTGCATTGCACGGCCGCCTTGTGCACGGGAATCTGGGGCTTCGCAATCCGCAGTGCCGCACATGGCGATCTTGCAGTTGCAGGGCAGGCAGGCAGTGTCGTGTTGCCGTGGTCGCATGGCGTGGCGTACGTTCCGCGAGGACAGTGTCGCCCCAGAATGCCATGCCAAGCCATATATTTTTTGATCGTGTTCCAGCTGCATTGCAGAGCCCCTCATGATTCCTTGCGTGCAATGATGTCCCTCTGGCGATTCGTAAAGGATTGCGTGGTGCATGAACGAACCCCATTCTCTCTGTCACTTGGCCATGGGCTGCAAGCCTGCAAGGTCTTCCGAAAACTGTAACTGCCATCACTGGCGACTTTAACTCGTTGCAATAGGTCACGTGTATTTACGCTTTGCACTGTGAAATGATGGGTACGTGAGGTAGGAGTCTGTCTCTCTGTGCATGACGAACGAGACTGGCCGATACTGTGATGACTGATGACTGCTTGTGTGGTTGCAGCAACTGTCCATGAAGGGCTTCGCCGGCGACACGGCCAAGGCGCACGCCAAGACGAGCATGATCGCCGGGGAGGGCGTCAGCAACATCCGCACCGTGGCTGCGTTCAACGCGCAGGACAAGGTCCTGTCCCTCTTCTGCACCGAGCTGCGCGTCCCGCAGATGCACAGCCTCCGCCGGAGCCAGATCTCCGGCGCGCTCTTCGGCCTGTCGCAGCTGTCGCTGTACGCCTCCGAGGCGCTCATCCTCTGGTACGGCGCGCACCTCGTCCGACACCACGTGTCCACCTTCTCCAAGGTCATCAAGGTCTTCGTCGTGCTCGTCATCACGGCGAACACCGTCGCCGAGACCGTCAGCCTCGCTCCGGAGATCGTGCGTGGCGGCGAGTCCATCCGGTCCGTCTTTGCCATCCTCAACTACAGGACGCGCATTGACCCGGATGAACCGGAAACCGAGCCCGTCGAGTCCGTCCGTGGCGACATCGACTTCCGGCACGTCGACTTCGCCTACCCGTCGCGCCCTGACGTCATGGTCTTCAAGGATTTCAGCCTCAGGATCCGAGCTGGGCAGAGTCAGGCGCTCGTTGGAGCGAGCGGGTCAGGGAAGAGCACCGTCATCGCTCTCATCGAGCGTTTCTACGACCCTCTCGCCGGGAAGGTCATGATCGACGGCAAGGACATCCGGCGGCTGAACGTGAGGTCGCTGCGTCTCAAGATCGGCCTGGTGCAGCAGGAGCCCGTGCTGTTCGCCACCAGCATCTTTGAGAACATCGCCTACGGCAAGGACGGCGCGACGGAGGAGGAGGTGATCGAGGCCGCCAAGGTGGCCAACATGCACGGCTTCGTCAGCGCGCTCCCGGAGGGCTACAAGACCCCCGTCGGCGAGCGCGGGGTGCAGCTCTCGGGCGGGCAGAAGCAGCGGATCGCCATCGCGCGCGCCGTGCTCAAGGACCCCGCCGTGCTCCTCCTCGACGAGGCGACGAGCGCGCTGGACGCGGAGTCCGAGTGCGTGCTGCAGGAGGCGCTCGAGCGGATCATGAAGGGCCGGACCGCGGTGCTGGTGGCGCACCGGCTGTCGACCATCCGCGGCGTCGACTCGATCGCCGTGGTGCAGGACGGGCGCGTCGTCGAGCAGGGCAGCCACGGCGAGCTCGTGTCGCGGCCCGACGGCGCCTACTCGCGGCTGCTGCAGCTGCAGCTACACCACGGCTGATCGTATCAGTTCAGGGCCTAGGTTCCGGGTGTACAGAAGTGGGCGAGGCCAGTAATCGTCATGGTGCTGTGCGGGTGGTCAGATGATGTGCTTGGGTACAACTGTTTTCTTCTTCCTGTAACCGATCAGGATTATGCCGGATGTGTTTTGGCACTAATGGCGGCTCTGGCAATTTTAGATGTTCACAAGAATCCCGGTTTTTTTCCCATGTTTGATTTCCTCGCCACTACAAACTGACGAGAATTGGCAACAACGCTTTGCGTCGATCCGTCCACGGATCAGAGACGAACTACACTAGATGAAGCTAAAACATGAAATCAAGAAGGATAAGCTTCACCTCCAAATACGGGGCAGTTGAGGAGGAGCGGCACCGAGGCCTCGCGCCCTCGCCGATGATTGGGACCCTGTCAGATCTGCGGCCACCGGTCGCCGGCTCGCCGCCGCCATCTCTCTCTGATCTCCAATTGAGCAAGGCAAGTTCAAGGCTTCGAGAGGCTGTGGGCCCGCGGCCGAGGATGAGGACGTGAGGTGATACCTGGGCCTTCATAGATAGTACAGCCCATATGATGTGGCCTGCACCTGTAATTCCATGACTAGACAATCCTGGGCAAAATCTTTTAAAAAGGGAATAAGTCCACATTGACTCCCTTAAAAGTGACCCGAATCTAATACATGACCCTCAACCGCAAAACTGAATAGGACGACTCACCGAACTATTGAAACCAATGCAATTTAACTCCCTATGAAGGGTCGTTTTGACCAATATATACACACTTGACACCCGCCCAGAGACCACTCCTTCACAAGAACATTGGATTTTCACAAGGGTGTTGTACCAAGATCTTGGGACGTCAATTTATATTCCTATTTAGTTGATTTCCATCGTTGCATTGCCCTGGTATAAATGATGCATATTATATCCTAGTTGATTGTAGTGTATCATATATAAATACACAACGCACCCAGCATAACATAATTATTGGTGATTAGTACTCCCTCCATTCCAAAATATAAGGCACAACCACCTTAGACCCAAAGACCAAGAAATAATTATTATCACCTCTTTGTTTGAATAATCCCAACTAATACTATACATGCACCCAATAGAATTAAGCATCTTGATTTAAAAATTAATAATCTAGGTGAGAGAATTTGCTATTAATTGTCATGCATACATGCACGCTTTATATTATGAAACACCTTTAAAAAGTAGTTGCGCCCTATATTTTGAAACGGAGGGAGTAAATGCATTGTATATTTATAAGTAATAATTTTACATATTATTTATTAATGGCATTTAACTTCCTTAAATTGGCCTTATTGTTTTGATGTTTCCTTTATACTATTTTCCATTGTCTTCCCACCTTCCTGTTTACCAATAAATAATTCTTGTATGTTGATTTACTAAAAAAGCTATAGGAAGTTGTGAATTTTAAATTATGAATCATATATGCTATATGCTCAAAATGATTATCTAAAGAGACCGCACTTATTTACTATGAATATTCACATTTGACAACTCACATACTTTTTAAAGAAATCCATCCAAATGATTAAGTAGCTTAACAAAATAGAGGATTAGAAGGGGAACGATTTTCACTATTACGTGAGAAGAGAACGGAAGAGGAGAGAAGAGTTTGGATCTGAGAGAATTGAGGAAAAATGAACCTATCTTGCTTTGCCCATCTGAAAATTCAGGACTTGAGGACAACTACGGTGGGCACCAGCACTGGTGCGGCGACACGATGGAGGAAGGCGCGAGCTGCTGGTGGAGTTGGCGGTGGATTAGAGCAGCAGTGGTGGTAGATGACAACGATGGCATTGGTGGCGACGGCGGATTTGGGCAAGCGATAGCACCGGTGGTGGAAGTGGATGACGATGGCTGATGGATTTGGGCGAGAAATAGATAGCGATGGTGCTGATGGTGAATCTAACCGAGCGATGGAGATATCGTTAGCTGGGGATTAATTGACGTGCATGTTTAGGAGTAGTGACCTTCTCCTTTTTTACTGCCCTATGTTTGGATGGGATACTAAATGGTCACCTTTCTTGAGTATACAAAAGTTACCTCTTCATCTTCTCTAAGGTAACCTCTTTACTTTTTTAGAGAATTCAGGGGCCAGCTAATATACTTGATTTTCTTCCCTCGTAGAGCATTCACGGGATATAGTACACTGTATCTCCTTGGACACGTGGCAGTTTTTGGAGAGGGCTTTGCCTAATTTCTAGGACGCCACGCGACCCAACAGGATGCAAGATCTTAGTCCCTGAATTAGGTCTTTAAGATTTCCTTGTTAGAAAAGAGCCTGACAATGGTCAATTGCAAAACAAAGATAACAATGCATTGACCAGGCCAAAGACCAGAAATAGACACTGCTCTTCTGTACGTCAAATGATAACCACAGAACACGATAGACCACAACAACGGTCAAACCATCCACGCCCGTACGTGCGTAGCCAAACTGCATGCACGGCCATTCTCGAGTCGACCACCCTATAAATTGAGCGTCCCTGCGGTTCCACTCCAACCTTGCGGGCCAAGATGGCGCAGAAGTTTCTCCTCGGGGGCGTGGGCGCGATCCTCGTCGTCGCGGTCGTCGTCGGCGTGGTCGCCACCGTCACCCGCTCCGGCAACAAGGCCGGGGACAACTTCACCGTCCCGGGGGAGGCCAACCTCGCCACCTCCGGCAAGTCCGTCGAGTCCCTGTGCGCGCCCACGCTGTACAAGGAGTCGTGCGAGAAGACGCTCACCACGGCCACCAGTGGCACCGAGAACCCCAAGGAGGTGTTCTCTACCGTCGCCAAGTCGGCGCTCGAGTCGATCAAGTCGGCGGTGGAGAAGTCGAAGGCGATCGGCGAAGCCAAGACGAGCGACAGCATGACGGAGAGCGCGCGCGAGGACTGCAAGGCCCTCCTGGAGGACTCCGTGGACGACCTCAGGGGCATGGTCGAGATGGCCGGCGGCGACGTCAAGGTGCTGTTCAGCCGCTCCGACGACCTCGAGCACTGGCTCACCGGCGTCATGACATTCATGGACACCTGCGCCGACGGGTTCGCCGACGAGAAGCTCAAGGCCGACATGCACAGTGTGCTGCGCAACGCCAGCGAGCTCAGCAGCAACGCGCTCGCCATCACCAACACCCTCGGCGCCATCTTCAAGAAGCTCGACCTCGACATGTTCAAGGGTGAGAATCCCATTCACCGGAGCCTCATCGCGGAGCAGGAAACGGTGGGCGGCTTCCCGTCGTGGATGAAGGCGCCCGACAGGAAGCTGCTCGCCTCCGGCGACCGCAACCGGCCGCAGCCCAACGCGGTGGTGGCCCAGGACGGCAGCGGCCAGTTCAAGACCATCCAGGAGGCCGTGAACAGCATGCCCAAGGGCCACCAGGGCCGGTACGTCATCTACGTGAAGGCCGGCCTGTACGACGAGATCGTCATGGTCCCCAAGGACAAGGTGAACATCTTCATGTACGGCGACGGGCCCAAGCGCAGCCGCGTCACCGGCCGCAAGAGCTTCGCCGACGGCATCACCACCATGAAGACCGCCACCTTCTCCGTCGAGGCGGCCGGGTTCATCTGCAAGAACATGGGGTTCCACAACACCGCCGGCGCGGAGCGGCACCAGGCGGTGGCGCTGCGCATCAACGGCGACCTCGGGGCCTTCTACAACTGCCGGTTCGACGCGTTCCAGGACACCCTGTACGTGCACGCCCGGCGCCAGTTCTTCCGCAACTGCGTCATCTCCGGCACCATCGACTTCATCTTCGGCAACTCCGCCGCCGTCTTCCAGAACTGCCTCATCATCACCCGCCGCCCCATGGACAACCAGCAGAACTCGGTGACGGCGCACGGCCGCACCGACCCCAACATGAAGTCCGGCCTCGTCATCCAGAACTGCCGCCTCGTGCCCGACCAGAAGCTCTTCCCGGACAGGTTCAAGATCCCCTCCTACCTCGGCCGCCCATGGAAGGAGTACTCCCGCCTCGTCATCATGGAGAGCACCATCGCCGACTTCATCAAGCCGGAGGGCTACATGCCATGGAACGGCGAATTCGCGCTCAACACGCTCTACTACGCCGAGTTCAACAACCGCGGCCCCGGCGCCGGCACCAGCAAGCGCGTCAACTGGAAGGGGTTCCGCGTCATCGGCCAGAAGGAGGCCGAGCAGTTCACCGCCGGGCCGTTCGTCGACGGCGGGACCTGGCTCAAGTTCACCGGCACGCCGCACTTCCTCGGCTTCAAGGTCTAAAGACCCTAGCCCCCTACATGGCGTGAAGGGTGGGATCGATGCATGGACGTGTGCATGGGAGATTTGCACGAGAGGATCCGAGGTGACATTCATGCATGCGTACGTTCGTGTGTGTACCAAATATGTGTGATGGCTGAGACGTGCAGGACACCTGATCAGGGTGGGCGTGCTGCATGCGCTGGGGGGCAGGGCTAACATTTGTGCTTTTAACTCTTTCCGGTTTCTTTTTTCTCGAACAGATTTTCTTGGAGAATTTCTTCTGTATAAGTATATGTTGCAAAACGATTGTTGTACAATGGCTTGGTTGGAAAAGCGCTGTTCAAATGTCCCGTTTGTTGCTGGCAATCTTCACCCATCCGTTCATCAGAAACAGTCAAAACTCAAAACAAGCTTCCAAAGCAGGCTAGCTAGCAGTTAGCATTTACACCTCACCCAAGTGGCTAAGTATCATGTGCTCTGGCATTCAACTATCCTCTAATGCGTGACGACGCCCTGGATGCAAGAAAATTACAAACGGCTATGAACACCAGTAGAAATTTCGGCCAACTCACACGACAAGTGTCACACTTCCCAGGATGCATCATCTCCTTGCACCGTCTTGCATCCTCCTACAAAAGGAGGGGCCTCCACCTCAGTGTCCCTCACCGTGTGCTCAGTGTTCATCTTCTCCAAAACTTCAATCAGGTTGTCCCTCTGATCTCCTGAAGAAGAATGGATTCAATCCAGAGGCAGGACTCCTTTGATGACTTGATTAACCTCGCCGACGATGTGGTTGTGGAGGCGCCTACTCTCTCCAGCGAGGAGATGGACCGTGCAAGGGTATATCTATGCTCTGTTTTAGTATGTACTACCTGTAATTTGTAGTTTTTGTGCCGTGCTTCTAGGTTCAGATTTAGCATCTACATATGGTTTGTGTTTGTTCCACCATGTCGATTTCGCGCCTTTTTTCAAACAAGTTTTCGCGCCTTTTCTTTGTTTGAACCCTTTTTTTTTAAAAAAAAAATGAGGCACAATCATTTTGCGTTTTTGTGCTCGTTCAGTTTCTAGTGCGATAGCACATAGCGTATATTTTTTTTCTACTCAAGTTAGATTAGTTGAAGTAATGTTCTTTCACTTTGGAACGGATGATTTTTCCATACTGACGCTGGAATTGAACTGTTCATATGAGAATCCTATAATATTATTGTGTGATTCCTATGCTCGAAAGGGAAACTAATATGTATAATAGTAGTGTTCTTAACCATTATATAGTTCCAATCAATAGGTACTTCAATTTTACACAACATATATGGCAACATAGCAAATCTGAATAAAGGATACAGTAAGCAGATGCCACAAACAACTCAAAGTTACATGGGCCCCAAATTTTATCACAATCTAAATATGGTGTGGGATTTCCAAGTTGGTACTTTGTGATCAATAATAGAGGGATTTTGCCATCCTTGAAGAGATACCAAAAGATACTCCACTTAAGATTGAAAATAAGCTGGACCAAATTAACTGAAAAGAAGTGAATCATATACGAGGATACTTTCCACATTGAGCTTTAGGCCTTGTTCTCCTAGTAGTTTTTTCTTTACCGCGTTTTCAGCAGCAGTATTGATTGCTTGGTATCTTCTGAAGTGCACTTACCACAGTTTGACCCCCCCATCCACTGCAGAGGGAGGCTCTGGAGATACTGAGAAACAACTCCCCTGAAGAGGCTTTCAGGATTTTCACCCAGGTAATAAGCTGTAATCACTCCTACACATCCGTTACTTGCAGATTCCAGGGAGCACTGTCGGCACAGAAATTCTCTCGTAACATATCATAGCAGCACAGCTTCTGACTGCTACCTATCTGATGTTGCACTGTACCAGGGTTTAATAGGGCAGGTGGTTCAGAGCCCTGTGGTGGGCAATGCTACTACTCCTCCTACTACCAATCAGGCCGTGACCGTGAGCGTCCCTCCCAAGGCCGGCGACGGCGAGCCCAAGACCGCACCCCGTCCTCCGAACAACTGACCGAGATCGACTCGCGGCCGGTCGGGTCGAGAAGCCTACCTGCTCCTGCGGTGCGTGCGCCGTCCAGCTCCTCTACCCGCTCTGTGCCTGAGAATAATCGTGTCTAGTGTGCTGAACACCAGCCGTTTCCTTTAGAGAAGTTAAACCATGTTTGTTTTTTTATGGCGGCCGTATTACGGACTCGTGTTCGTCGTGCCTCTCATCTGCCTCCTGCGTATGTGCGGTCACGGAGATAGGTGTACGTTGCGACATTGCTTCGTGCGTTGTGCGGAGAGTTCACGCGCGGTGCGGCGCGGCGGACGGACCACGTACGCGTGCAACGCCTGCGCCTAGGCGTCCGGACGTGAGCGGCGCAGCGGCGGTAGCGGAGGAAGGCCTCGGCGCCCGCTTGGCTCGTCGCGTGACGCGCGTTTTTCTTTTCTTTCTTCGGCTTCGGTTTTCCGTTCGCCGGTTGCCGATCAACCGCGCGCTGCCAAATTCGTGACGAGGCTGGGTCTGTTGCCGCCTTGTCCCTGTCTGAGTGACGGCCTCTTCATCGACAATTTTGGCCGATCGACCGAAGTCTGGGAGGTTGAGAAGGTAAGAGCAGTCATCACAATTGTTCTCACGTTTTTAAGTCCACATAAACTTTTGTACGGAATTTCTCCACTTCATTTACCGATCTCCTAGAATTTTCTCGGAATTCTAGCGTCGTTTTGATCGTGAAACGGATGGGATCAAGGAATAGTGCGGCATACCCCCGGAACGGTACTGCCGCTAGCGTGCCGCATCCCCTCATCCGTCGTGATTTGGGAAGAATTCGGGGTTACATGGGCCGGTTAATGGCCCAATAACGTACAGACATTGGGAGAGGAGCCGCGCGAGAAGGCTATTGCGCGGTCAGTCGCGCGCCCCCCTTTCCCCACGCGCGGACTGGACACGTGTCGCGCGCGGAGAGAGGGCGGCGGACGCGCCAGGCGGCAGAGCGAGTTTTCCGTTTTTTTTCGTGTTTTTCGTTTCTGTTCGGTTTGCTTTTTTTTTTTTTAGTTTTTACGGTACTGTTCAGTTTGGTTTTCCTTTTTTTTCGTTTTCTCTTCTGTTTTCTTTCGGTTTTTTTTAAAGATGTATGAATACAAAGTTTGTATTTGTATGTATATCAAGCTAGTTTATATTCGTATGTATGTAAAGTTTGTATACGCGTATACAAAGATTATATACGCGTATGCAAACTTTGTATACGTGTTGTAATTTCTTTTTTATATATTTTTTAATACATATATATATATAAAGTTTGTATACATCGTATACAAAGTTTATATATATCCTACATAAACTTTGTATATATTGTATATAAACTTTGTATATGTGTAATATTTTTTATGCATTAAAAATATATTCCAAAATATATACATACACGTATATACATATGTATATACATGTGTATATGTAATATATACATAAGTATAGTATTAGTAGGTACATATAAGAGACTAGAGGGGGGACGACTGAACCGCGCGCCCCGCGCGGTCAAAGTTATAGTTGGGCTTGGGCCGGTGGTATCAACGAGTCGATCCCCTCACCTCGATCGTGTCGCCCGCCGCTTGATCGATCGCGCGGTGCAAGAGCGTTTTTTATGCTCCTCTGTGACGACGACGGGCGCAGCGCGGTAGCGTCATGCACGCCTACGCAGCTAGTACGCTTTTGTCCTGGCCCTCCCTGCGCGCGTGCGTGGTCATGGAGTTAGATAGATGTAGTATATCACAGTATATGTCACTTTTTTTTTTCCATGTCACTATGGCGCAGCCCGCAATGTGGAGGTGTCCATACTCCATCGTCCTTGCTTGGCCGTTTGCCGGTGCCACCACCGCGCGCAGCCAAACTTTCTGATGTGAGGTATTGGTTGCCGCGTTGTCCTCTGTCTCTACACGGACACAATGTACAAGCAGAGTCGAGTCGACTGTGCGATTACACAGACAAACGGACTGCGTGTTCGATCTAGCCATCGTACTAACAAAAAGTTATAACTTGTGTTTTTTTGTTCCAAAAAAAAAGTTACATTTTCGTCATGATTTCTATCATAATTTTTTTTCGTAGTGCTTAGAATAGTTTCCCGATGTGGGATACTGCAGCACACCCTGAAACGGTAATGCCGTTGATGTGCTGAGGCTTTTGTTCGCAAAAGATTTCTCGTTTTTATTTTTCACATATACCAGGCCTAAAATTTAGGTTAATTGGATCCATACCATTATAAATGTGATAAATCAGAAAAATGTCACTACCTTTCATGAAATCGGGTAGATGCCATTGTAATTTTTTAAAATTACAACCATGCCACAACTTCACGATTTCCGTCCTCCCTGTCACATTTTTCGTCGTCTCCATCTTCATCTTCTTGTCGTCTTCGTCTCGACAGACAAACCAGCGCCGGAGGAGGAGGGCACGGCGGCGGATGGGGAAGGGGTGGGGCAGGACAGGAGGAGAGCTCCTCGGCGAGGATGGCGGAGAGCGAGACGTGCATTCCACCGCTCATCGGTGCGGGGGTGTTCTTGTCGTCTTCGTCTCAACGGACAAACTGGCGGCGAGCGACGAGAGGACAGGGAGAAGGCGAGGCGGCGCTGGCGAGCGGTGAAAGGATGGGGAGAAGGTGAGGCGGCCATGGCATCTTCTTCCGCCATCGTCGATGAGCTCTTCCACCAGATCTGCGCCCCTCCACGACCATGCTCGCCGGCGACGGCCACACCTGCTCCCGTGCCCCTCCACAACCTCCCTGCGACCATCCTCGCCGACAGCCGCCTCGTCCTCTCGCCGCTCGCCAACGCCTCCTCGTCCTCGCCGCTCGCCCTCTCCCCGTCCTCTCGTCTCCTCGCGCTTGTCGGCGCCGCCTCGCCTTCTCCCCGTGCCAACATGAGAGAGGAGGACGAAAATAGTGATGGGAGTGGCATGGTTCTAATTTTAAAAGTTTTCATTGACACCCAGCTAATAACGCGAATAGTAGTTTTATTTTTCTGATTTGTCACATTTGCAATGGCATGTATCCAATTAATCCTAAAAATTATGCACGTAATTCATTCACTCTCTACGAATACCACGAATGGATTTCTGATAATGTGACGTGTACATATCTGCTCATGAACATGATAGCTTGCCGCAAACATAATTGTTCATGGAGCGCATGCTTGAGAACGACCCCATTCTTCAATTATTTCAACAACACGCCAATAATTATTCGCACAATCTTGAAAAATGGTATACTACAACCACACGATCATCCTGACTGATCAGCTAGAGAGCTAGAAGGAGAACTTGAAGGCCATGTCGTGCCTGTACACCTGGCCGGGCCTGACCGTCATGGAGGGGAACTCCGGGTGGTTCACGGCGTCCACGTACCCCTGCGTCTCCAGGCAGAACCCGCCGTACTGCTGGTACACCTTGCCGCCCTTGCCCTTGATGTTGTTCAGCCAGTTGCCGGTGTACAGCTGCATGGCCGGCTGGTTCGCCCACAGCTCCAGCGCGCGGCCCGACGCGCCGTCCCGCGCCGCGGCCACCTTCCGCATGCCCTCGCCGTCGATCACGTAGTTGATGTCGTACCCGGCGATGCGCCCGCCCATCACCTGCCGGATGCGCGCGCCGATCGGGGTGGGGTGCCGGAAGTCGTAGGGCGTGCCGGCGACGGGCGCGACGACGCCCGACGACGGGAGGAGCTCCTCGTCCAGCGGGGTGTACCGGGATGCCGACAGCTGCAGCGTGTGCCCCAGCACGTCGCCGCGGCCCTGCCCGCCGAGGTTCCAGTACGTGTGCTGCAGGAAGTTCACCGGCGTCGCCTTGTTCAGCGCCGTCGCGTTCATGCGCAGCGCCAGCACGTACGGGCTCGACAGCTGGTACGTCACGTACGCGTCCAGGTCCCCGGGGAAACCTGATCGATAGCCATTCACAAATTAATTTACGACTCCAAATTTCATAAAAGAGAAACTCGATCTTTCATCTGGAATTTCGTTGCACACCTTGCTCTCCGTCGAAGCTGCGGTAGTACAAGGTGATGTACGGCGAGTCGCCGCCGCCGACGTACTCCTTCACCGTCCATATGACTTTGCTGAACCCTCTGTGTCCACCTGAATGTGAGTTCAGTGAATTTAATAATCTGTTGGCCAGGCTGATCTGAGGTCTGAAGGCATGCGTCCATGCACCAATGCATACCGTGAATCGCGTTCCTGCCGTCGTTGATGTACGTGTGATACACCTTCCCGTCGAGAACGAACCGCCCCCTGGCTATCCTCTGCCCGACCCGTCCGGTAACCGGCCCGAAGTAATTAGTGTCGTTCTGGTTGGCATGAGCAAGAAGATCATTACAGATAAAAACAACTTGAATTATTTTGCCATATTTTCGACAGTGATAACGCAAATGTTAATGTCTATTGATTCAGACCGTTCTTCGGTATGGTAAACAAAAGCTGCTTGTGTGTTTGAATGATATTCCAGATGATGAGAAGAAAATGGATAAGGGTAGAACGGAACAGTGATTTGGAGATGCGGACCATCGTTTTCTGGCAAGCTCAAGGTTTTTAGATAAGCATTCTGAAATTTTTGCTGGCTGGCTGAACCTCTGAAGATTAGCTATTTATTTTTTGCTTAGACTCGATTCTATTGAAGGGATGATACTCTGACCACGTCATAGTTGGACTAAGTGACAGTGTGAAACATATGGAAAATGACAATAATAAAAGGGATTTACATCAGCTTTGCATGTTGACAGATGACAAGGGAAGAGTACTGCCAAGGCGATCCCCCCGGTCAAACGATTGTTTTCAGAGGAAATTACGTCATATGGTATTTGTTGTTTTGCCTGTGCTGATGAGCATTGTTTATCTTCTAGTAGTAACTTGGTCACTTGCAGACAAAGAATCATAATTTATTGCATACTGTTTGATACGGAGTATGTTTGTCAGGGTTTGTTCCAATCGTATTTCATTTGTGATTTAAAATTTTCTAAAGAGTAAATTTCACAAAACTACATATACTATGATCAAACTATCACAAAACTATATATTTAACTCGGTGTATCACAAAACTACACATTCAACACCAAATTTATCACAAAACAACATATTTAAAATGAACTATTATAAAACTACATGTTAAGTAACTAAATTATTATAAAACTACAGTTTTAGAACTAATTTAGTCACAGAACAATAATATTTATAGCTCCAGCATAATAATGGTGCTAGGGATTTAAACTCTAAAAGCTGTAGTTTCGTGACAACTTCAATATTAAATATGTAGTTTTGTGATACTTAACCTTAAATCTATAGTTTTGTGATAAATATGGTGCTAAATCTGTAGTTTTGTGGTATAACGCCTTAAATCTATAGTTTTACGATAGTTTAATCAAAATATTTGTAGTTTTGTGAAAATTACTCTTTTCAAAATTCCACCATCTTTTTGTCAGTTATACATCCTTTTTACACCTTTCTCATCACTGTATCTGGAATAAGTTCCAAATGAGTGCAGGGCAAGCAATTTCTTGATCAGACAAGTACTTTTATCTTGTGTATAGTGTACAGGGGAAAAAAAAGGAAATTTAAAGAATATAAGATTCATTCATCCATTCATTAATAGCTGAGGCCTTAACTGTCGAGAACAAGTTTGGGTTTCAATGGACTATGAGAAGAAGGCAAAAGAAGAAGCTGAATGATATTGCCATTTCCTGCCCAAAACATTAAATTTTGGAAGGGGTTTGGTGTTCTTACCACGTACTCAGCAATGGTGTCTAGGCCAAGCACAACATCAGCCAAATTCCCTGCAGAAACACAAGCACTGCAAATTCAGACCAACACACGCAAGTACACAAACGCCATAAAGAAAAAAAGCTCAACAGAGGGGACATGACGGTACCTTTGGAATCAGGGAGGACGACCGACATCATGGTTGCTCCCCAGTTGGTGATCTTCACGGAGAAGTCCCCCTTCCTGAGCACGTACTCGCCGACCGTCTTCCTCGCACCGGCGCCGCCGGCGAGCGCGGAGGCCACCACCACCACCACAAAGCACAGGAACGCGAGAGACAACCGAGCTCCAGCCATTGTGAGCAAAGCGATTCGTCTTGGGCAACTCACAGGACGAGAGGAGAGGGATGCATGCAACTCATTCTCGATGGTCTCCTGATATAGATGTAGATATAGGCGGATACCGGCCGCGATCTCGGACGAGTTTGTTCGAGGCGGGACCGGACCAGCCTGGTTACGGACAGACACCTGCGCTGCGCGCGTGCTAGCGTGTGATCTTTTTGATTGATCTGATCCTTTCATCCGTTTGTGTCCTCAAGTCGCAGCGAAACGGAGCCAGGTACACGGTCCGCTTGCATTGGTCGCAGGTTGTGCATGCTCGATCGGCCGGAATCCGGTGGTCCGCCCGCGAGCGAGTGGGATGACAATTTGTCATTGGGGAAGTTGGCAAGTGTGCTAGTACGTGCGTGGCCACTCTTGAAACTGTGCACAGCTCTTCAAAAAGAAAGGAAAAAAAGAAACTGAAACGGGCCAATGATAAGATTTTGAACTTGTCAGTTGTCACCCACGTGCGCCGTAGGATGCCTGCCGCCGCCGCATCATGCAAAACTATCTCCCACAAGTCAGAACTCAGAACCATCCTTTGGACGTGTTCTTAATAAACGGTTTGAAGGACTTGCTACAAGCAGCTGAAATTTTGGAAAATGTCAATTGATTTTTGGACGGATAGGATGGCTTTAAGATTCGTGCCAAATCTCTCCAAATCTACCTTTCTCTCTTCTTTCTCGTGCCGCCGCCACCACATTCCTCTTCCCCTTTCTCATTGTCTCTCATTCTCTTGTTCCCTATGGCATGTCCACATGTGTATTGATTTACCTTATGTTTTTGTGATATGTTTCCACTTTGTACACATGTTGTGTTGATCGTTGTGTTAGGCTTCATGTTATTTTCATTTTTTCCTGCTATGAGGTGCTTGTGAGAGCGACTCACAACGACCTGGAAGTTCCGAGTGGCTGTCTTGGCTTGGTTGAGAAAGCTGCTAGGAAGTTTCGCCCTATTAAATTTAACCGTTGCGATCGGAGAATTTTAAGAAACACCTATTCGACCACTCCCGCCAAGTGACATCTATGGGCTTTCAACGCTCGCCTCAATAGATCTAACGCCCGTCAACATACTGTCCATGCAGTTTTGGTGACACCTCGTCGCCCGCCTTTGTGTTCCGTCCACAATCAGGTTCCCCTCCACCCCGGCCATCCCTCTAAAACCGCCCTTACCCCCCCCCACCCCCACCCCCGCATTGCCTCGAACTTTGAAAACCTAGTACGTCGGTTCTCTGCTGGAGTTCAAAGGTCACCACCATCGAGGCTCGCCATCACTGTTGCTGGTAAATCCATCTTTTACCTCCCATTCCTCTTCTCCCACCTCCCCCGGTCTAAAAGGTGGAAGACGATAGGCATGCCATTGCATCTTAATCCACAAAAAATCAACGATTGTCTGAAATTTGGGGAAATTTTAGTGCATAGATGAATAGCAAATGTGCAGTTTGAATAGTTAATAATTGAAGCCTTCCAGGATGCTAGTAAATTATAGCTCAATAACGTTCTTTTTTCTAAACAACATGGTAAAATAAAACCATGCAAAAGGTCGAAAGAAAGGAAAATAAGTGCATAATCAACCTCATTATTGATTCATCCGAACACAGGACGTAAGTCCACGACTTCTATAAATAGAAATACTACAAAACGGTATATTGTTCCAAACAAAATAGCTGACGTTATTATGATGTTAGCATGGTATAGTACTTATGAAATATCATGCCTGGTTGTTGACAGAAAACACGTGGCCTGGGAGATCTGCTTAACTCCAGTGCAGGTCAAAGCTCGCCTTCGGGTGTGTTAGCATGCCAGTTGATTTGATCATGTAATCAACAAGAAATAAAAGCAAAGAAATCGCGGTTAAATCTATAAATGATAGCCGATCGGCCAGATGCCGATGACATATCATTTATCTTTGAGCCGATGTCATCTGTGTATCGATCGGCAGTCGTGAATAAGTAAGAAAGAACTAAATCTACTCGATCGGCTGTAGATATTAACGATATATACTCCTTATATCGATATATATTTAAATCAAGTGATTGGGATAGATCGGTCGCCATGCCGAGACAGTATAAATCACTTAGATTGAAACATATATCAATAACAAGACTATATATCTTTATAGCATAGCCGATCAAATAGATCTAGCATGTATCGGCTAATACTCCGATACTTCCCTATATCAGGATATTAAAGCAGGTATAATATATCGAACAGAGGCCTAACATGCTTAGATATAGCAATATCTTGATATAAAGGGCAGATTTAACATATTAATGAAGCATATAGAACAAATATAGTTAAATTAGATACGATCGGCTGAAACTCCGATACTATTCTAATCGGCACTAGAAGGTAGGCTAGAGATCGATATTCTAAGCACGACTTAATATATCAAACTCAACTGATACATCATTAAGTATGAAAAGAAGAACGACATCTAGACAATCAAGCCGCTAGAAGTTTCATAGAATGGTGGATATCTTATATAATCTAGATCAACGTCAAAATCTAACCTAATCAGTTGCCCTCTGCTAACAGATGTTAGCCGATAATAGGTTAGATGGTGATATTGCTAGAGATTATGTAAGATATATGATAACTCGACGAATTACATAAATAAGATTAGAGTATCATAAAGATGGAAGCACTAATCCTAAGAACACCATCCGTCATAACCAGTTTTACCTCTTGTTGAAGATCGACACCGATGCAGCTCAACCCGAAAGCCAGAACTCGTCGAAACCAAACTAAAGCAAAAGGGTGGCGATGCGCCGAAATTGTATTGAACGTGTGTGTTGTAAATTACATAGGGCTCGGGGTCTATTTATACCCGAGAATTACAAGACATGCCCATACCGGACACGACTGTTATCTCTAACAACTCTAAGATACCATAAGTCTTTGCGGCAAACTTTTGCCCTAAACATATCTCTAAGGAAATTACATAAAACATCCTAATTAATAGATACAATTGCCTTCTCAGGACTCTATCCATGCGTGGCAACCATCTTGAAGCACATCTTCTCAACCCGATGTTGTACACCAAGTCGTATTGTTGGAATCGGCTGTATCGGCTTATCTAGCCCGACTCAGACCCAGCCGATACTAATCATAGCCGATCCAGACTCCAGCCGATTCTTGCTCTGTTTCCGAACTCGATCTCCGCCTCTGACTTTGCTTTGATCCAATCTTCTTTCCTGACACAGATGTTACCAAATTTGGTTGAAACACTGGTATGTACGGATCCAAATCTTGGTACCTACGATGAGATCGAGACATTTGTTATGGATGTGTTAGCAGNTGCCTGGTGTGTGCACATATGCCCACGCAGCGTTACGAACCCCAATGTTCGACGCTCGATGCTCACCCGTGGTATATTCCCCCTCATTTTCCCGGTGACTTGACTTATGGTTGGTCCCGGTTAGGTATAATGGTACACACGCGCGTGCGCATTCAGTGGTTGCATATTTCCCGTGCACTGAGGCCTAGTGCCTTCAATCTCAATCCTAGTATGTGTTAGGGACGCGCACACGTGTGTATGCGTGTGTTGTGGTGTGTGTTCGTGTGTGTCCTGATTTGTACCCTCCCAAAAAAAAATCTGGTACCTACGTTACCATGCTAAAACATCGATGTCATTATGATATGTAAGTATCAAAGTCTGATATCTATAAGTATTGTGTCTGGTATAACGGTTCATATCTGATACCAATAATACCATATCTGTTATCTACGATACCATACTAACATTGTGTTGAAGTCAGCACACATAACCTATTACGTTGGAATGGTAAGTAGCTAGCCCTCTTCCGTAAAACTTTGGGTATGAGAGAAGTGGCTCTCGTATGGAAAAACTTTTATAAGTCCGCAACTAACCCACCACATTATGGTGCAAGCCGGAAGAATCCCGGGCTTTTCTCTTGCCGCAACTTCTCTATGAGACTGAACTGGCTAGTGAAAAATTCTCGTCTTTTCTTCCCCCATGCGTCTTATTGCAAATCAACGCATATCATATTATTGCACCGACCGACACCGACAATGTCACAACTTACAGCAGATGAAGCGATCGACCAATGACCACATATGATCCATGTATAGTCACCTAAACTAGAACGAGAACTTGTACACCATCTCGTGCTTGTACACCTGTCCGGGCCTCACGATCACCGACGGGAAGTTGGGGTGGTTCACGGCGTCGGGGAACCCCTGCGTCTCCAGGCACAGCGCGCCGTACTGCCCGTACGCCTTCCCGCCCTTCCCCTTCACGTCGGCCGTGAGGAAGTTGCCGGTGTAGAACTGCACCCCGGGCTGGTTCGCCCACAGCTCCAGCGACCGCCCGGACTTGCCGTCCCGGACGACGGTCACCCGCCGCAGCGCGTGCGCGTGCGCGTCGACGTCGTCACCGCCGTCCACGGCGTAGTTGGTGTCGAAGCCGTAGATGGTGGCGCCCGTCTTGCTGAGGCCGCCCGTCACCAGGTGGACGCGCGCGCCCACGGGCGTCGGCGCGCGGAGGTCGTAGGGCGTGCCGGTGACGGGCGCGACCTGGCCCGTCGGGATGAGCTCGGCGTCCACGGGGGTGTACCGCGACGCGAACAGCTGCACCGTGTTACCCAGGATGTCGCCGCTGCCCGTGCCACCGAGGTTCCAGTACGAGTGCTGCGCCAGGTTCACCGGCGTCGCCTTGCCCGCCGCCGTCGCGTTCATGTGCACGCTCAGCACGTACGGGCCGGACAGCTGGTACGTCACGTACACGTCTAGGGCGCCTGGGAATCCTGTTCGACAGAGGCATAATTTTGACCGTTAGGCCCTGTTTGGCACAGCTCCAGCTCCTAACTCCACCTTACCTAGAGCTGGAGTTATGCCAAACGGTTCGGATTCATCCAAAAGAGGAACGGAGCAGTGCAGATCGCTCCAAAAAATTACACTAGCGTGGTGGAGCGGGGAAAACACAACTCCACAGCTCCACTCCCAGCCTGATTACAGCGCTACCCATTACTTTTCGCAAAAATTATAAGCAGAATGCCACCGCCCCTACCCCTTCGTTCCCCACCGCACCGAGCCAGACTAGCGCACATCGCGTTTCTCCTCGAGGCCGCGAAGAGAGAAGGGGGAGGGAGGACTGAGGCAGCGGCGGCGGTAGCAGTGAAGGCACACGGCGCATGGTGGCGGTGGTGGCGGCTGCCTCCTCTCGCACAGCAAGGGCGCCGGGCGGAGGTCTGGGCGGCGCTGGGCGGAGGTCAGGGCAGCGCACGGCGGTTGGATTTGGCGCTGAGACCTCATGGCGGCGGCACTTGGCGGCGGGAGCGGCTCCCCACAGCGAGGAGGCGCACGGCAGGAGCTGGGCGACGCCGGTGGCATAGCAGATCTGGTGCAAGGAGCAAGGTAACCCTAAACCCTGGACTAGCTCCCTCAAACCCTAGACTCTCTCTCCCCCAAATTTCTCCCGATCTGTGTGTATTGCTTGATTTTAGTTTGTATACTTTAACCATATTCTCACTATACTTAGATTTCTAGAAAGAATTGGTCAGAAAAATTTATATGTATGTGGCAAAATATGTATTTGGTAGCATTACAGTTGTTTGTCATTTGTAGATAACATTGCAACTATATTTATTTTTTTTCGGGGGTAGGAAATGACTGTATAAGAATTCAATGGTATGATTCATATAGTGTATGAATGAGAGTTTTATTTTTTGGGTTTCTAAACCAGGCAGTAAGTATTTCAAAATTATGTGTTAAATTGGAAAACAAATGTGCCAAAATAGTTGTTCTAAATCATTTTACAATGACATTGTGCAGGACATACCAGGCTGCACCAAATTTATTAAGACTGGCTTGCAAAATGAAGAGCTACTTGAGAAGATGTTTGAAGATATCCGCAATACCGGTGCTAACCATTGGTCTTTGGGGCAAGGCACCATACCAACAGCCATGGATGCATTTCGTGATTACCTAGCCGGTCGTATTGCAGGTTGATGGACATATATCGTATTTTGTGTTGTTTTGCGGTCTTATGCTCTATCTTTCGATGATAATGGTACTAGTTATTATTACTAAATATATGTCATGCAACAACTTTAATTTTTACTTTATTTTGGAGTACCAATCATATAATGATTGATTGAATGTGTTCCCCCCTCCCTGGCAATGAATGGCAGTGGGTAGCTAGCTCGTTTCTTGTTGTCTTTTAAAAACAACCAAGACAAACAAGGGCCGGGCAGGGCAGTCAGTCCCAATCAATCGATGGTCAAAATGGAAAAGAAATTAATAATCACCGTGCTGAAATTATTAAGGAAATGAAAAAGAAATTAATAATCACCGTGCTGAACTTATTAAGGAAATGAAAAATAAATTAATATTCACCGTGCTGAACTTATTAAGGAAAAGTATCTATTATTAATCCTAAGTCAGCAATGAAAAAACACAAGGGTAGTATTGTCTATCTACCCTCTATCCTCTCTTTCAGGATTTTTGGAGCTGAGCAAGCAAGTTAGCCAAACACTTTCAGACCACCTACAGCTCCTAGTGGAGCTAGCTCCCACTGGAGTTGGAGTTTGGAGTTAGGAGTTGAGAGCTGTAGCTCTACCAAACAGGGCCTTAGTTTGACTCAGTAAATACTACGGAAATGGATTAAAGGGGTTTCACCAAAATTGCGTTTCAGGTCTTTTGAACGTCTCTTGTGAGATCCACTCCCCATCCAAGGTCAAGTTCATTGAATTGTCATGTAAAAAAGTCAAAAGCATATTGCATGAAAGTGCAAAGATAGTTCCTCTATTTTAAAATATAGCGATATCTAAATAAGACACGATCTTATACTGCGAATTTGGATAATATGTTCGTGCTTGTAAAAATTATATTGTGTCTAATCCAATACTAAATTGTTGTATTTTGGAAAGGTGAAAGTAGATGATACTTCTGCTGATTTGCATTGACCATACCTTGTTCTCCGTCAAAGCTATGGTAGTACAGTGTGATGTATGGTGCGTCACCTCCACCAACATGCTCCTTCACTGTCCATGTAACATTGCTGAAACCCCTGTGACCACCTTCAGAAAAATGAGATAAAATTAGCTTACTGTTCGTAGAGATGAACCATGCACCATGGATTTCTTGCACCTCGGGAAATTTCTCAAGAATACCGTGAAGTGTGTTTTTGCCATCATTTGGATACAGATGATAAGCTTTTCCATCGAGCACGAACCGCGCCTTGGCAATTCTGTTGGCTACCCGTCCGACGAGCGCTCCAAAGTAAGTAGAAGAATTCTGAACAGCAGAATTCAGAAGGCAAACTGAAGTGAGGTAATTTAGCATTTACCCTTTAAGGTACTTGAATACAGTGAACTCAGAGCTGTCATTTTCTTTGATGGGTTACCCAGCTTGCAATTTTTTTTTTGAACGGAAAGCTTGCAAATGAACTACTATGTAAAAAAGATTAGTTAGAAACTTTTTTGCCCTTCTGAAAGTAGGTAGACTTTGTCAAAAACTCAATTGGTCTGCATAAGATTTTGCTCGTGCTTGTGCTGCTCTGTTCATGTGATTGGATTGTGATTTGGGATAGTATTATATGTAGAGAGAAGTGAAGGTTCAGAAAGAAGAACAGAACAAAGAAAAAAAAAGTATTTATATGGCTATTGCAAAAGTGCGGGACAAGTAATAACTAGGCAACACACCGGCATCACATGGTGAGGTTGTCAGCTGTCTCTCTCTTTCGTGAGACTGATATACTATTTCTTGGGTAACAAACTAACATGGCCACTGGCTTAAAGAAAACTGCATCCATCTAATCCTTTTGTCGATCATATGTTTCTTGCTATTTCTTTTCCTCTTCTCTATGCTTATGCAACTACGCCATAATATTGAATTTTCCTAGACGTGGCAACAGCATCTCTATTTGTGTCAATTGTTTTTTTTTATCTATCTTGGACCTCCATGTTTGAAAACTGACCCCAAACTGAAGGCGACAACAAAGGTCTCGTGAGAGTTTTTTAAAACGTTCAAATAATTGAGAGCATTTTTATGGGATAGTCAATGGCCAATTAAGTTGATCATCCCTGCTTCTCGGGTCCAGAAATGTAGCAGGTGATTAGGTGAAATTGAAACTGGGTGATGAGCAACAGAAAACTAATTTGAGTAAACTGGATGCAGACAGAAGTGCAAAAAAAAAAAACTCAAACACACAAACTATCGCTATGTAATGCTGTTCTACAATCCATATCAAACGACAATGAGGACAGGGAACTATCGCTATGTAATGAGGTTTCACAAGTTGTGTGTAGAAACAGGTAAGTAAACAGTGAAAATATGAGCATATGCACTGCCTTAAAAGAAGAACAGGGACAATGAGGTCAGCAAATCTTACAACATATTCAGCAATGGTGTCATATCCAAGAACAACATCGTCCAATTTCCCTGGCAGAAAACAAGTCTCCAAAGTTTCAGCTCGAAACCCCCATGAAACGAGCAGAGAAATCACGAGGCAAATGAAGCTCTGGTGTCCTTGACGGAGAGAGAGAGAGGCTCACCTCTGGAGTCAGGAAGCACGACGGACATGATGACCGCTCCCCAATTGGTGACCCTGATGGAGAAATCTCCCTTCCTGAGCTCATAGACGCCGACCGTCGTCGCCTTCCTCTCCGCCGCATCGGCACCGCCGGCGGAGGCGGCGGCCACTAGGCACACCGCCGCGAGAAGAAGCAGCAGCGGAGCTGGTCTAGCCATCGCCCAACACTGCTCTCTCTCTCTCTCTCTCTCTCTCTCTCTCTCTCTCTCTCTCTCTCTCTCTCTCTCTCTCTATCTATCTATCTATCTGCGAGTGAGGAAGACGGAGACAGAAGGGACGCGACAAGCTCTGCCCGGGATGGTTGCTGGCCTTGGCCGGATGGACGGATATGTAATGTAGTCAAAAGCGTAGTAGTAGTAGCAACTAGCAACTTGGGGATGCGATAAGATGGTGACAAAGTTGAAGTGTTCGTGTGTGCTCCCAAGGCGTCTCCGAGAAAATGTCGCGCGCGAGCCGAGCGCGCGGGGCCAGCGCGAGCGATTTGTCCTTGACTCCCGCGCAGCGTGCGCTAGTGTTTTTGCACAGCGATCCGGGGTCCAGCGATCGATTTTGTCCTGGCTCTCACTGCGATGCGATGCGATCCGTGCCCACGCGGCCGGCGTCTTCCGCGGCGAATGGATCGTGCACGATCGATGGTACATGGACGGCGACGGCGTGGTGCACGGCGAATATTCGCTCGCTTGCCCTGTGATCTTAGATGATGAGCTGAATGATTGATGAGTTTGATGACTCGCTCGCTGGTTCAGCATCTGGATGGCTTTTGTGTCGATGTGCCATGTAGTATCATGACCTCGTGTCTACTTTTGCCCACACGGCATGGTGCACGTGCAACTGGTACACACTTTGCCACCGTTTGATGGAATGGAATGGAAGGGAGAAAAAAGTGTAGCCGTATCGTCCTAGCTGCAAAGGGAACGCCTGGGCACCACCAAATGGGCATGGGGGCAATGGCCTTTTTGTTGGAGCAACGTGGCTGTGTAGAGAAATGCAGCGGAAGCACCGAGCACCGTAGTGAGGAGAAAGGTGCGGACCACAACTCCACAAAGGCAGGCCCAAACAAATGGCACGCGGCCCTGGCCCATCATCGACAATGCGACAGACAAAAAAATACAAGCAGGCACGCAGACCCTTCAAGACTTTTAACTCGCCGTTCATCATCCGGACCTGCTTGACAAGGTAGGAGAACTTGAATATCTTAAACTAACCCAAATTAATCTGTAAAAATCCCTACATGCAATGCCCGCTATTCTCTTCTTTTCGAGATTAACAAAGGTCTTAAAGAGTAAGGAACCACAAGCAAGTAATAACACAAACAGGTAAACCAATACACAAATTTTATTGCCAGTTCCTCCGACTGACTAAACTGACATGAGAAGGTGTTCAGGACAATTGCCACGGACATGAATGTACAAATGACTGGACTAAAGCAACCACGGACCATTTATCTAGACAAAGGAAAAAAAGCCAAAGAAGTTCAAATCGGCAAAATAAATTGCCTTGTTTATGTACACAACCAAACTAACAGAATTCGGCAGCCGGAGAAGCAAATTCAGAGCTTATCCATGTCGGCGTTCCTGAAGCTGCCACCGAGGAGTGACAAGAGGCCGCCACCGTGCACCCTTCCCTCCGGAACGGCACAGCCTCCCTCTCTGCCCCCATGCACGGTAGGTTCGGACGACGATGAGGGCATCATAGAGCGAGGCACCAGCACCTGGGGAGGTATCATCATCGCCTGGCTCCTCACCGTGCCGTCGCAGTCCGACGCGGTGCTGATGCCCGACGACGAGTACTCGTTCGTCATGCTGCTCGTGGCAGCGACGGTCACTATGCCGCTGAAAAGGCCTGGCGGGATCATGCCCGCGCCGTTGTTCGCCGCGTCGCGCTCTTGCTGCTTGGCCGCCAAGGTCCCATGCGCGGCGCACAGGCCGCTCCTGCCGCGGGCGAACTTCTCGCAGCCCGTTCCCCAAGTGCACCGCTTGCCGCCGCCGTGGGCTTTGCAGAAGTCCGTGCTCCCCTGGGCGCTCTTGCTGCAGTTGTCGACCTTGCACCTCTTGCCACCACCGTGCTTCACGCAACAGTCCGTGCGGCCACGGGCACTCTTGGTGCAGCCAGCCACCGAACAGCGCTTCCCTCCTCCGTGCGCCACGCAGTACTCAGTGCCACCATGGACGCTCTTTGGGCAGACGCCGCCACCTTCGAACATGCATCGCTTCCCGCCACCGTGTGCTTTGCACAGAGGCGTGCTCCCCTCAGCACCTTTGCTGCAGCCGTCAAAGATACACCGCTTGCCACCGCCATGCCCTTTGCAGTACAATGTGCTGCCTTGAGCCCCCTTACTGCAGTCCGGGAACTGGCACCGGCGGCCACCACCATGAGAAATGCAGAGCCCGGCCTTACCCTCAGCGCTCCGGATGCAACCTTGCACCGTGCATCTCTTACCACCACCGTGCTTGATGCACCGCCCAGACTTACCCCGTGCAGCTTTAGGACAGCCATCATGTTCACAACGACGACCTCCACCGTGAGCGATACAATAATCTGTCTTCCCTTCAGCACTCTTGGTGCAACCAAGCTCCTCGCACCGCCGACCACCGCCATGGGCCTTGCAATAGGCAGTGCTGCTCTCTGCACCTTTATGGCACCCAGGCTTATGGCATCTCTGCCCACCTCCATGGGCAATACACAGCCCTGATGCGCCTCTCGCACCTTTCGAGCATCCCTTGAACCTGCACTTCTTGGGATGCCGGGGATGATTCCTTTGTTCTGATGTGGTTGTTGCCGTGACAACGTCGGAGCTCACACCAAATGAAGTATCTGTCATGGCAGAAGGCTCAGGGCTCAGCTGAAGGTGATGTTGAACGTGCTGAGTGTTATCATTGTCGCTGTGCGTCAGGTCTAGTGAATCCTGGGTTTCTGCTTCGTGGGTCTCATTGACAGCAGAAGAACCGGAGCGTGGAGCAAAGAGTAGGGATGGCATGTAGCCACCGATGCTCCTTACAGAAGGAGATGCTGAGGCTTCATCAACAACAGTAAAAGAATGAACTGTTCCATCTGGTGCTTGCAAAGGTTGAATTGTTTGAGAAACATCCATTTGAAGGCCAAGCCTCAATGTCCCAGGATCGGTGATAGTCAAACCCTGTCCAGATAACGAAGGAGCTTCTTTAAGCTTGTCTACTCCAGTGGGCTGACACTCTGCAGAGTAAAAATTCGGCGTTGGACCCAACCCAAGGACTAACCTGCAACCATCATCTCTAGTTGTGATGCTATCAATGCACTGTATATTTTGATTACCATGGCCATAATTAGCCATTGCAGATCCCAGGCAGTCCATGTGGGGTGTGCTTTTGCCAAGGTTCACCATGTAGCTCTGAGCTGAGGGTTCCATTAACACAAACGGGTTATTCATTGGAGGTTGATTTGGGATATCCACAAAGCTGTTATCCATCACAGCTTGACAATATGACAACGGGGTGAGAGCAAATGACAACTGAATCACTGAATAGCTGAAGAACAGGGAACTGATGATCTTTCAAACACAGATCACAGAATAGACAAAATGGAAGAATATCAGCAGGAGTGTAGTACTGAAGCAACCACCACTGACAAAGCCTGAGGTGTCTGCACGGTCCATGCCTGTCTTGTTTTGGTTGAATTTATGATCCAATGCTACTTGACCTCCACAGCACTAAACAACATCTTTGATAGTTGACATCAAGCATAGGCAGGAGCCTCGAAATGCTTACTGGTTGGGAGGTCCTCAACTGACAAAAGCAAAACAAAATATTAACCAAAATTCAGATGTCAAATATATGTTTGGCGTGACCTTATTAAAACTATTATAATACCATAGACAGGTCACCAAGCCAGTAAAGCAAACCACAATTAGTGTTGTGCAAAGATTAAATAATCAGAAGTGAATACATTTTATTCCATCCATTCAAGTATACATGGCGTGCTTTATTCACACACATGTTCAACTATATAGGGTAACACAGTTTTCGAAGTGATTTTGCACATATTTGCCCATACAAACTCCTTTTAGCAGCACAGCATTGAACACTCCATTGGTTCCTAAGCAACTCTCATTAATCAAGTAGTTGATGGCAACTTAGTCATTTGTGCTGGATTCGGTCTACAAGTGAAAAGGAAAACACACCATATATACTAGAACTGAGAGAGTACAAGGAAACTGCAATTATGAAGTGGTTTCAAGCAAGCAAAAATAGTAGCCGAGATCAATGCAAAACAAACTCCAAACATGTTTGATTGGTAAAGCTACATGTTAAATTATTATTAAGATTATCCTTTTGGGGGCATAAATCATTTAATAATACCTTTAGGTAAAGAAGATTGAAGGGTCAAAGTGAGTAACTAACACGACAAAAGTCTTTCTCCAGAAAGGAGGCAAAAATGTGGAGTCTATTTAATTTGAGCAACAGCATGCACAAGCAACTCCCGTAGCAAGAATTTGCACAGTAGAAATCTCAAAATATTGACAGAACCTATCTGCCCTTTATTATACTCGTAATACCAGCCAACCAGGTGCTACCTTTGCCGCCTTGAGTGAAATAAATGGTTTAACCAAGGCCAAGCAGTGTCAATAACTCAAAATGAGGTGATCGATAAACCAGGAAATCAACCACATTGCAATGCGCAATCTACAAAGGGGAATAGTATGAAGTAATGAACCCTCATCAGTTTACCTAATGAGTACAATAACCAAGATCAGCAGTCATAAATACATGTTATTCTCCATGAAAAGGTAACCAAAAGATTGGATAGAAAACAAGTAACAAATGTCTCTGTTTTTTCTTTCTTAACCAAAAACGACTGTCATACATTTTTGGTCTTCTGCATACGACTGCAAGACCTGTGCCTCTTATTACATATCTAAATACCATAACAATTCAACTTTCCTAAAATCATCCACACATTCTATAACATTCCCAACAGTAAAAAATATTGGATTACACTGAACATATCATTCCTAATACAGGTGCATTTCTGACTGACTAGAAGGGTTCAGACTTAAGCAGTATCAATTTAAAAATAGATGCCTAACAAGTACTGCTCAACAAAGAGCATCCCGAATCTCCCTTTGGAATATTGTATCACGGATTGCTGAGAAGTGCACAAGATCACTACACGCAAAATTTCTAATATCCAAGAATTCCAGTCCAGAACAGTTAGTTCATTCTTGTCCTAATATTTTTTTTTTCTGAACTTCGCCTGATTCTCTCCTAGTCCTAGGTACGGAGTACTATTATTTAGGGTCTCGTGTACTAGCTAACCAGGAAGATAAGTCCATATACTGCAACAATCTATCTATGTACTTAACTAGTTAGATTG